CTCTGATTCAGATACCTGACGCAAAGGGGCACTCTGATTCAGATACCTGACGCAAAGGGGCACTCTGATTCAGATACCTGACGCAAAGGGGCACTCTGATTCAGATACCTGATGCAAAGGGGCACTCTGATTTAGATACCTGATGTAAAGGGGCATTCTGATTCAGATACCTGATGTACAGGGGCACTCTGATTCAGATACCTGATTTAAAGGGCACTCTGATTCAGATACGTGATGCAAAGAGGCACTCTGATTCAGATACCTGATGCAAAGGGGCACTCTGATTCAGATACCTGATGCAAAGGGGCACTCTGATTCAGATACCTGATGCAAAGGGGCACTCTGATTCAGATACCTGATGCAAAGGGGCACTCTGATTCAGATACCTGATGCAAAGGGGCACTCTAATTCAGATACCTGATGCAAAGGGGCACTCTGATTCAGATACCTGATGAAAAGGGGCTGTGCAGAGCCATACAAAGCAGTGTGCAGGAGCTGACAGGGGAGAGATCTGTATTGTTTACATACAGGTCTCTCCTTTGTAGCAAATCCTACAAAGATCGCCGGGTGCCAGTGGGGAATCACCGGCTGGGACCTGGTGATTGACAGCCGAGGCCGCAAATAGCCCTACCCAGAAATACAAAAATCACGTGTATATATATATATATATATATATATATATGTGATTTTGCACACCCCTGCCGCCCTGTAGCAGTATTCCTGCGGTTAAAACATTCCGAAATGTATTTTTGAATACAGCTAGTCTACGTACCTGAATGTGACTAAAGCTGCCCATAGATGGATTGAAATTTTGCTGGTTCAGCAGGGACAGGCCGAATTTCGATCCATCGCTGGCTCTTCCCACTTGAGAGGAAAAGCTGGCCATATACATTCTGACTTTGCTGCTGATTCGGCTAAAATTCAACCCCTGATTACACCACTTAGTACAAGGCAGTCCATAGATGAGTCCATTTTTTTCCCATTCAACCAACAGATTGTACAACAAAAACTGACTTGGTTCGTCGTCCACATATTCGATGTGAATGGGGTAATCCTCTCTGCTGAGCTATTGTATTCTGACAGCGGGGGATGGCTTCCTTGCCATCAGAATACAATGATCAGCATTGTAGGCTATAGCCTGCAGCAGTGCCAGGACAAGGTCATCCAGTTCCCAAGGCAAACTGTGGCATGAAGGGGAACCTCTTAGGGGGTGCGCAACACGGACCTCCTCCGGACTCTCTCCTTCACTGCCCCCAGCGCTGGGTTGACAAGAGTGGTGATGCTGCTGTCACTACTCCTATCAGCCTTGTACCAGAAGGAACTCAGCACAGGGTGCCCCCATCCCTGCAATAACCCATTGCTCCCAGGGCAGCCGCCCCTCCTGCCCATCCCTTGACCCAGCCTTGGCCTGCAGTGCTTATTGAGGAAAATCCGACAGTATGGTTGGAGAGAAATCAATCAGTAGATCGACTTCTATACAACCTCCCAGACCATACATGGATTGAAATTCGGCCAGTCCCTACTGAACCAGCTGAATTTCGATTCATCTACGGTCGGCTTAACAAAAGTCAGCTGAGCGATTGACTGAACGAAAGAAAGAAGCCAGGTGGAAAATTGTCAGCTGAATGGTACCTGCATCCAGTCAGCTGCTGTCAATAGTCATGTATTCTGACAGCCACTGGAGCCAGCTGTCAGAATTCTATAGCTGGCAGGGGGGAATCAACCATCCACCCTGTTTAGTATGGATGGAGGATGGTAGATTTCTTTCCTTCAGCCAGCAGGTTAAATGAAAAAGATGTGTAAGTGTATGGCCAGCTTCAAGCTGATCATACATGGATTGCAATGGTCCCCACAGCTTCAAGCTGGCCATACATGGATTGCAATGGTCCCCACAGCTTCAAGCTAACCATACATGGATTGCAATGGTCCCTACAGCTTCAAGCTGGCCATACATGGGTTGCAATGGTTCCTACAGCTTCAAGCTGACCATACATGGATTACGATGGTCCCTACAGCTTCAAGCTGATCATACATGGATTACAATGGTCCCTACAGCTTCAAGCTGGCCATACATGGGTTGCAATGGTTCCTACAGCTTCAAGCTGGCCATACATGGATTACGATGGTCCCTACAGCTTCAAGCTGACCATACCTGGATTGCAATGGTCCCTACAGCTTCAAGCTGGCCATACATGGTTTACGATGGTCCCTACAGCTTCAAGCTGGCCATACATAGTTTACGATGGTCCCTACAGCTTCAAGCTGGCCATACATGGATTCCAATAGTCCCTACAGCTTCAAGCTGGCCATACATGGTTTACGATGGTCCCTACAGCTTTAAGCTGGCCATACATGGATTGCAATGGTGCCTACAGCTTCAAGCTGGCCATACAAGGATTACAATGGTCCCTACTGAACCAGACAAATTTGAGTCCATGTATGGGAACCTTGTTTGTACAGAAGGTGTTCTACCCATCAACTTCTGTACAACCAGCCTGTCGGGTTTTTCCTGATCAATCTGTGCCCTGGCTATAGCTGGCAGCACTGATCATTGTGTTCTGACGGTGGGGAGGTCTCCTCACCGTCAGAACACAATAGCTCAGCAGAAGGATACACTCATATACATCAAATTTGTGGATGATGGAATCGGATCATTTTTTTCATGCAAACCACTAGTTGAATAATAATAATAATAATAATAATAAAAAAAAAAAATCAAGAATGTATGGGCTGCCTTAGTAACAGCCTCTTGTTGTCTCCTTGTACAGCAGAACTGTAAAGCAGGGAACAAGCTGCCAGCAGGAGAGGACAGAGGGATGACTCATTAGTATTCTGCTCCTTAACTATCCAAATCATGTGCTGGGTGCAAGCAGCTGACCAAGCTATAGTGCATAAAGTGGACTTCAGAACCTGATTTGTGTGGCTCCACCAAGGGCGGACTGACAACTCATGGGGCCCCCGGGCAATAGTAGATCATGGGCCCCCTGTGTCCTTGCCCAAACTCAAAAAAGCCTATGAAAAAGGTACCAGGGGCATCTCATGGGGCCCCCTACTGACCCCGGGCCCTCAGAAGTGCAAGAGTTTCCAAATGGTCAGTCCGCCCCTGGGCTCCACCCATGTTATGTAATGTGTGCCCTTCATCAGTACATCTGCTTATGGGCAGGGTATATCCTGCATGCAAAGATGGGGATGTTTTGTCATTTCCATGCGACCCATCTTAGAACAAGTGAGTGGAAATGCTGCACATGCACAGATGTTCCTTTAGGAACTCCCGAAAAAAAAATGTACACGTATACAGTATATTGATCTATGTAGATCCAATTTAATGAGAGGGAGGGGGGAGGAGGAGGGCAGGGCAAGAAGAGATTGAACTTGTGTCTAAACTTGCTGATTCTTTGAAGAGCGATCCATGTTCAGATCATTTTTCAAAGGTGATTGATAGGCGGTGAGGAGGCAATATGGCATTTGCAGCGCGTTTGCTTGAATGGGTTACCATTTGGCAGGCCTGCTGCCCACTGATTGCAATATGTTTGATAGCTTTTGGGAGAAGCATCATGACTGTGTCGTCTAAACACCCCTGTCCATTGCCATTGCAACTTAAGGGAGGGTGCTAAAAACATGGCTCAACCAGGGGCGGAATGACAACTCATGGGGCCCCCGGGCAATAGGGGATCATGGGGCCCCTGTGTCCTTGCCCAAACTCAAAAAAGCCTATGAAAATGGTACCAGGGGCATCTCATGGGGCCCCCTACTGACCCTGGGCCCTCGGGCAGTGCCCGCGTTTCCAAATGGTCAGTCTGCCCCTGGGCTCAACTGTACATTTTTAACACCCTCCAACCCAGGGGCGGACTGACCATTTGGAAACTCAGGCACTGCCCGAGGGCCCGGGGTCAGTAGGGGGCCCCATGAGATGCCCCTGGTACCTTTTTTCGTAGGCTTTTCTGAGTTTGGGCAAAAACACAGGGGCCTCATGATCCCCTATTGCCCAGGGGGCCCCATGAGTTGTCAGTCCGCCCCTGCTCCAACCACACCTCTAAACGTAGCCTTACGGTGAAGGTCAGCTTTCATTACAGAAAAGCCAGGTTACCAAATTGGCTCTGCCGTCTTGCAGAGTTGTGTAAATCTCAGGACTGGCTTGCCAAAATTACAAATCCTCAGGCAGGTAAAATGGCTCCAATATATGTATTTCAACTGTGGATTAATGAAATTGCCTGGAGATCAGCTTTAAGTAAATATAAAACTGTGCAGAAAGTGTCAGCAGCGTGATACAGACAGCAGACCCTGCGAAAGGGTTAAGAAGTGTGACACGAGTCTCATCTGTTAACTTATTGATGCAGAGGGGGGGATCATGCGGGAACATGGAGACACAGCTGCAAGGATCAGCCCAGACACCCTGGGGACAAGTTACCAAGACTACACGTGTCCCTACATGACAGCTCACATTGTTTACCTGCGTCTCTACCTTGTGTAGTGAGCTTACAGTCTAACCTACTTTTTATTTCATTTTTTTGCGTAATTCTTTATTTATCAACCATAGAAGCATTGCATATATTAATGGAGGAGTGTGCAGCAGGCAGAGGGGTATTCACAAAAAAGGGACCCAATTCAAGAGAAACAAGGGGCATCGTTGTCTAAGTACAATTTACTGGAAGACATACTGTACATGACAAAGCTTACAGAGGAATATGCCATATGATGAGATGTGATGAGACCCATGAGTAGAAGAAATGTATGAGATTGAAAAAGATCGAAGAAAGAAAAGAGAGGGAGAGAGAAAAGAAATAGAAAGTGAAGAGGAGGTTTATAGAATGTTGGTGGTGGGGTAGGTGGAGTTGATCAGGTCCTAACACCTTAGTTGTATATTTAAGCACAATTCCTAGTGGGGGCGATACAGGTCGGTTCAAGTCCTTGGTGGACTCCAGATATGTGGACCCAAAGTCACAGAGAGTTGTGAAAGTTGTGGACTTCTTGGTTCCAAAGAAGACAAGAGTTAGACCTTGTATTTGGTAGAAAAATGTGTTCATCGATTTAACAGAACCAAGTGTTTTTGAATTTATTGGTCTGTCCTTTAGGCTAGGTTCACATCTGTGCGGGTGGTGCTGCTGCTGCGTATCCGCACGAAAAATCTGTCTAGCCGCACCACTGCACAGAGAATTGCGGACCCACGAGCGGGTGCCATTAGTTCTAATGGCACACCGCCCGCACTGGAAAACGCAACCGTACTGGGAACCTGTTCCCATGCAGGCTGCGTTTTCAGAAGTGCAGGGACACTTCTCTGTGTGTCACCATGGGAAATCTCTGTAGCCACACCACCTGGGGCCCCAGAGAATTGCCCCATGGGCGGGTGCCATTAGTTCTAATGGCACGCCGCCCGCACTTTTTCCTGTGTGGGCTGCGTTTTCAGAATTGCAGGGGACTTCCCCTGTGATCACAGGGCATGGGAGTCCATTCAAATGAATGGGCTCTCATGCCCGCATGCAAAATGCAGTCCGCACAGCCGCATATATGTGAACCAGGGCTTAAAGAGAACTTGTACTGTGAAATACGTACTCAAGATGTAAGCAGAGGCCAAAAGACTAGTCGCCAGTATTGTATGTAGGCACCTTGCAGTTGATCTTTACTCCATTACTAACTTGAGATATCTTGTTCTTCACTGTGTCTCTGTGTGGAGGTGATCACTTGGTAGAGGAGCTGGGCTATGCGTCTTAATGTCAAAGCCAGCCTCCTATTGGGTCGTGATCTGATGACTTTTTTATAATAATGATTCATCAGACAACATGAGAGGCACAAAAACACAAATCCACAGAATGAATGAAGCAGATGAAGGGAGATCCTTGCACTGGAAGTCTTCAGGTACAGCTTCCTCTCCAGCAAGGAGAACAGTGAGCAATACAGTGGTGACATCACCAAATTATTTTTTTTCCCGTGCAGGAGCAAATTGGATCATGCTTTGCTGGGTTTTTTTTGCCTTCCTCTGGATCAACTGGGGTATAGGATTATAACTTTTTTTTTTTAATGGTTGAACTGGATGGACTTTTGTCTTTTCAGCCAGACTAACTATGTAAGATACTATATACGATGCAAATCTTGCTTCAAATCTGGAGAGAATAGCAGTCAGAGGTAGCAGTGCCTCAGATGATTCCACACGGCAGATATAGAGCTGTAAGTCTTAAGGTACTATAAAGGAGTGCCTAGGCACCCTCACATCAAGCACACTGCTATTTTTCAGGAGGAATTTAGGACTAAAGTATGTATTGCAGCGAGGGGCGGCTCATTTGGAACATTTTCTAGAGGTTCTCTACCCGATAGGCCCGGGGTCAGTAAGGGGCCCTATGAATGCCCCTTCAGGGTTAGACTTTTTTGAGTTTGGCCAAGAACACAGGGGCCCCATGATCCCCTATTGCCCGGGGGCCCCATAAGTTGTCAGTCCGCCCCTGATTGCAGCATACTTCTGAGGCTCAATTAACATTTCTAGATGTTCTTACCATATAGAAAATCTTCAGGTCCACTTTAAGGGGAGCTAAGAAATCTTCAGGGTCCATTTACTTCTTTTGTGGTGCATTAAAGCATATGCATTGACATGTGTAACATTAAGGGAGCCCACTGAAACAAATGGGCTGACAATACACCCTATTGTGCCGAAAAACTGGACATCACTTTTTTTTGTTTGAAATGCAACACACTTCTGTGTATAGAGGAACGCTACAACACAGAGGCATTGCCTTAGTCCATTGGCATGCCAATCAAAATGAATGGCACTGTAACACTGGCACTGCTATAGCAGGGCACACATTGCCACAATGCAGAAGTCTAAATGGGCCCTCAGCGTTAAGACTGTCATCTAGAATTAGAGAACCAGAAGAGCTTCAGAACGTCTCCAGTCTAATGTATTGTCCTTCATTAGGTTCTTTATATTATAAAAATATATCTATTCCATGACACCACAATAAAAGAACTCAGTGAAAAAAAGACAGGCACCAGATATATATAAATATATATATATATATATATATATATATACTAATATATATATATATATATATATATATATTAGACCAAACTTTTTTTTTTTGAGAAACAAGAAAATAAATATATTTCAAAAAAAGGTACAAAAGAGATGAGAGAACAGAAAGAGTTTATCTCTGCTCAATTTTTTTTTTGTGCTTTAATAGTCAAAATGGAGTAACTTTTATTTCATCTGAACTAGCAATGGAAGACTGGATTGTAGCATATGTCTATTTCCATTATTGTGTGCGAGTGAGAGGATTATAATTGATCATCATACTGTTTTATTATCAGCCTGCTTATTGTTCTCTATTGCACTAAGGAGCCTAAACATCTCAGCAGCTCTTCTGTCACTTTCTTGGTAAGCTCCATATACTGGTTGACCTTCAGCAAGTACCCCTTTGTTAAATGTTCCTGCTTACTGATCTCTGGGCATTTTTTTTTTCATTGTAATAGACTTTAAAGTGTTAAAAATGAAAAAGCAACTCTAGCTGCAATATTCACCTTCAAATCAGTGTGGTACACAACAGTACTTTTTTCCCACAAGATGTCCACGGTCTTCTGATTTGAATGGCAACCAGTGTCGCTCAACCCATGAGACTGAGGAGATCCCTTGAATTAGGGGTGCCATCGGCCTGCCCCCTGATGGGGTGCCACCACAGTGCCCTTCTTTCTCAGTATATTGATGCCTTCTGTGTAACCCAGAACTGCCCACCACCAGGAGAAGGTTGAGAGAAGGAGAGGAATCACATATCACCTGATTGACCTAAAGACTCTGGCAATAGATAAGAATAAGGTAAAAAAAAAAAAAAAAAAGCAGAAAAAAATTCTTTGGCAAGGCCCCATTCAAATGACTGTTCCGATCAGGTCCAGTTGTTGGTTTTTCAGGCAGACCTAATCGGACGGTCCATTCACCCTCATAGACTGGACCAGTCCATTTACACCAGTGTTTTCTCAACCTTTTTTCAGTCAAGGCACCCTTTAAAATTTATGAACAGTCCTGAGGCACGCTCTTCAGCAGCTCTTCTGCCACTCTCTTGGTAGGCTCCATATACTGGTTGACCTTCAGCAAGTACCCCTTTGTTAAAAGTTCCTGCTTACCGATCTGTGGGCATTTTTTTTATTTTCATAATAGACCTTAAGGTGTTAAAAAAGAAAAAGCAACTCTAACTGCAATATTCACCTTCAAATCAGAGTGGTGCACAACAGTACTTTTTTCCCACAAGATGTCCATGGTCTTCTGATTTGAATGGCAACCAGTGTCACTCAACCCATGAGACTGAGGAGATCCCTTGAATTAGGGGTGCCATCGGCCTGCCCCCTGATAGGGTGCCACCACAGTGCCCTTCTTTCTCAGTATATTGATGCCTTCTGTGTAACCCAGGACTGCCCACCACCAGGAGAAGGTTGAGAGAAGGAGAGGAACCACTTATCACCTGATTGACCTAAAGACTCTGGCAATAGATAAGAATAAGGTAAAAAAAAAAGCACAAAATTCTTTGGCAAGGCCCCATTCAAAAGACTGTTCCAATCAGGTCCAGTTGTTGGTTTTTCAGACAGACCTGATCAGACAGTCCATTCACCCCCCATAGACTGGACCAGTCCGTTTACACCAGTGTTTCTCAACCTTTTTTCAGTTAAGGCACCCTTTAAAATTATGAACAGTCCTGAGGCACGCTATAAAATTATGGACAATTGTGAGGCACCCCATTGTAAAATGGGGTTCCTCAAGACTGTCCAGAATTTTAAAAGGGCACCCCCTATTCTAAAATGTGAAAAAATATTCTAATAGTATTTTTATATAACACAGTAACATCCACACATGTAGGACATTAGAGGTAACTTATTCTTCCAAAGCAAATATACTTTTGCACACTGGTACTAAGTAGTATTCCATTGTTTCTCTTCTCCCTCAGTTTTTATCAGCCATTGAGCTAATGTGACCCCAGCATTGATGGAGAGGGGCAGAGGAGGGTCAAACTAGGATGCTGTGCAGGCAGCTGACATCTTCCTTATCAACTGATGATGTCATTGGTTGTCAGGACGCCGGCGGCTAGAAGGTCGTAATGGTGCACAATGAAAACCTGTGGTTTGTGTAACTAAAAGGCAGGCTTCTTCCACCCTCTGGCTTTTAAACAAGTTTTGAGCAATTATTATAGACATTTTGCCAAGGCACCCCTGAAGAAACCTCAAGGCACCCTGGTTGAGAATTGCTGGTTTACACCCACCTTCCTTCCATCCGATTTAGTTCACTAAAAACAAACGGAAGGGGATTCGCTCTCTGTGCAGGTGGATTAGAGGTAGTCAGATGTAAATGGACAGCAGAGGATGTTTACACCCAGCTGCCAATAGAGCAGAGTGGACTCCATCCGTGTCTGCTCTGCATAAAGTGATTGAACACAGACCTGCTATCAGAAGACAGATCCCCCGTGATCAAATAGGAAAGTGCCCCTTGTGAAAGGAGCCTTAGGGACATTAATGGGGGAAGGGGGTTAACCGTGAAAGTGGGCTTTGATGAGAAAAGGAATATTGTGTAGAATGTAATAAAGAGGACACCATTGCTCAAACATGGAATTGAGACTATGCCCAATTATTTTTAGAGAATTTGGGAGCTCCTACGACAGAAATTTATAAGCAAAAAATAAAATAAAGACAACTTCATACCTTGAAATAAACTCATGGTTGAATACCAAATTTCAAAAGATATCTTTAACTCCATTTAAGAGTTTACTTCAGAGAAGAAGTCATGTCAGTTGTCTCTTTACAGTGGTAGAATAAATTAAAGAAGTACAAACATGTAAAAACCCAAATCTGAACAAAACACACAGATGTAGATTTACTAAAACTGGAGCACTCAGGATCTGGTGTAGCTGTGCATGGTAGCCAATCAGCTTCTAGGCTCAATTAAGCTTTGGCAATAAAACCTGGAAGTCGATTGGTTTCTATTCAGAAGTGAACTTGATTTTGCACTATCCATCTATAGTAAATGGACTCCTGTGTCCCCATATTACTGAGCTCCAGGTCTGTGCAACACCATCTCTCCACCTCCCAGTGCCGGTTCCTGATGGATCCATCCTCACCACACTCTACAACTATGCTCAACAGATGGAGAAATCAGAGGGAGGACCTCAGGCGAG